AACAGCCTAAAGGGGCAACACCTACTTTAAATGCCTTCTGGCAAGAGTTTGTAAACAATAGAGACCTAGGCCCCAGCCTGCCTCTTTAAAGTCCCCCTTCTCTGCATTTGGGAGGATATTCTGGGCTGGGAAGGAAAAGCTGACTCTGGAAGGCCCAAGTGCAAGAACCAGGGGCAAGTGTCAGAACCCTTCACTAAGCCCAGCTCTCCCAAGGTGCTATTGCCTTAAAAACCAAGTGTTTGAAATACGCTAAGGATGCATGCTGTCCCATCACAGGTATCAATGTGGATGGTCCTTTACTACAACCATCCCTTTACCTTTTCCTCTTAATAGGTGATTAATTGTTGCTTTACTACAGCAGGGTTTGTTTTTTTTTTCTTTTTATGGCTACTAGATTGCAACTCTAGATGTTCGCTGCACAATTTCTCTCAGCAAGCCCCGACTGTAATAACTGTTTGCTAATTGTAAAATCCTTATCCAGAACGAGGTTTGGGCAAACAATTTGTACTACTGTAATTACACTGTAAAAGTGTTTTTAGTCCCCTGGTGGTTCAGAATTAATCTTATAAAGGCCTAAGTTTACAGTTATAAATGGAAAGGTGGGGGGGGGAGGGAAGAAAGAAGACACTTTTCAAAACTAGTAAGTTTACTTTAAGCCCACACACAAACTATTTCTTTAAGAGAAAAAAAAATCCGTGTGTAGGTATTTTAAAGTGCATTTCTAAAGTAACCTGACACATCATGAAAAAATAGTCTTCCTAAAGTTTTTGAAATGTTTGGTTGTTTGAAAAAGGGTGACTTACCTGAACCTTCTTTTTTTCACCTCTGCTAGAAAACAAAAGAAAACATTTACCAGAAAGCAACAATAAAAAGTTAAGTGTGTATATATCCTTAAACTGGCCTTTTCCAAATTTGAGAATGTGGCTGCAGAGTTGAGGTAACTCCAGGCTGGTTACCTAAGGCTTGCCTGAGAACCCCTAGGGCTGTTAAAAGTCTACAGTCATCGAAATGCATTTCGCAGGAAATTTCTCCGAGTTAAAGTATACTTACACCATTTTCCTCACACTTCATTTAAAGATCATAAACGTAGATTCGCCCAAGTCAAAGTTTGGCTTGACACCCCCTCCCCTGGCTTCCCCCTACGGCCAGCCTGCGGCGCGGATGCCTGGCGGGCCTGCTCCTACCCCTGCGAGCCGAGCCGCCTTCCCCAGGCGCCCAGGTATCCGCCCAGGCCGCTGGGCTGGGGTTCGGGGAAGGGCTTGCAGGCCGCTGGCCCAGTCCGGGTCTCTCCGCAATCCTAAAAGGATTGTGTTGCCTGCCCAGCCAGCGCAGTTCCCCGAGAAATAAACAGAGAAATAACCTTCCTGAGATCCAGAGGTTCCATCTGGGCCTGAAAGTCTGTGTGCAAGGTCTCAGGGGGCTAGGGAGGATGGCAGGCAGGGGAGGGCATCAATGCGCTGCTGGTCAGGCACCTGGATCCCCTCGGCTTTGGCACGCGGGCCTACCTTCACCTCCTGCTGCTTGTGATGTGCCTTTGGCAGGGCGTTTGTTCCAGAAAATTCTATACATATTGGCAATGGAGAAAAGTACAAGACCCTAAAACGAGAGAGGGAGAGGAGGGAGATAAAGAGGGAGGAAGAGAGAGAGAGAGAGAGAGAGAGAGAGAGAGAGAGAGAGAGAGAGAGAGAGAGAGAGAGAGGAGGGCGGGAGAGAGAGAGAGAGAGAGAGAGGAGGGACTGGACTCTGGGGACCAGGGTTTAAACACTCGGATGTCTTTGAATGCAAAGCGCATCTGGGGCTCTGGGACGAGAACAGCGAGGAGCCACTGGGGTGCGGGGAGCCGGGGAAACTCAGCTGCTGGGCTTTGTGGGAACCCCACTGTCCACTGCTGGGGGAACGGGGCAGCCTGGCGCCCAGGACTGAAAGCAGCAATAGACGTCGCTCAGTGAGGCTGCGTGCGCTCCTCGGTGGGACCTGATTCCAGATCTTTGGTCTGATGCTCGCCCTGGGTCCCCTGCGCCTCCAGAGCCCACGTAACAGACACTCGAGCCCTGCCTCGCGGACTGAAGCAAATTCTCTTTTTAGTTTGAGCTCGTTAAGAGTTTGGCCTCCATACGTTTTAGAGCTTCTAACCTTTTCCAAACCATCTCTGGGACAGGAACTCCCTCATCTATCTCAACTCTTCCCTCTAACAATGTCCCCCCACACACACACCCTCCAGATTGGGGTGGGGTTTGGGTGTGCAGCTGGCGGGGTGGGTCGGGCTGGGGGCGGTGGGCGAGGGGCTGGCTGCTTTGGGGGAGTCAGCCTTTTAGCCTCCATCATCAGGGCGGGAATCCCGACTGGCAGTTTTGCATTCCGGGCAGATCGAAGCTCCCTGCTGATCGATTATTTGATAATTGATTTTCCCCGCAGCCAATGCGGGGCCGTCCTGGCGGGAGCGCCTCCTGATTGGCCGAGCCCTCCTCTACCGCTGCCTACCGAGATTTGGGTGAGTTCATTTTCCAGCCGGCCGCAGGGGGAGTTTTCTGCGAGGCTTCAGCTGCAGGGAGGGGGAGAGGATCCTGCTCCGAGCCGAGCGAGCTGCGAGCCCAGCTTGGAAATGTGAGGCTTCCAGCCTACGGGGGTGAGCTGCTGAGGCTTGAGCCTTTTCGGCACATCAGAGTCGGGCCGGCTGGAAAAAAAAAAAAAAAAAGAAACACCCACACAAACGAACATAACATCACCAAATGCAATCAAGGGCAAGCTTAGAGTGAGAGAATAAAGAAAAGGGATTTTTAAAAGCCTGAGAATAGGCATTGAAAGGGAGAAAGTAAAAAAAATCAGTGGCTGGGTTGTAGCCTCTGAGTTGAGCTTTTTGTCTGGAAGCTCAGCTTTGGATGGGGATGTCTCTGGCGCTGGGAGTTTCCCCGAGCCGGGCTGGAGACGGGAAAGCGGAGTGGGGGGCGAGATGGGGAGGAGAAGGGGCTGCGGAGAGCGCCAGGCGTCGCCAGGGGAAAGCTTGAGGGCGCCGGGTCCCTTCAGGCCCGAGCACGGCTCCAAGCCGGAGCCCCGCGGCGCCTCAAAGACAAAGGCGGACTCCGCCGCAGTCCCCGCCGAGCGCGCCGGCCCGGCCGCCAGCGCCGCGCCCTGGGCGCACGGCCGCTCCGCCCGGAGAGGGTCCGAGCAGGAGCCGCCCTCCCCGCCGCGCCGGGGCCCGGCTCCGCCCGCCAGGTCCGGGCTGCCCCGAGCCCGCGTCGGGTTTCGCTTTCCGGCGATCGTAAATAGCTGGGTGTTTGTAAACAGGCGCTGGGGCACATTCCCGGCTCTGAGCTCATTGTTCCCTCCCTTCCTCTCTCACTCCGCGCAGGACTCCGAGGCTGGGGTGGGGGGTGTCTCCGGAGCTAGGAGGTGGTGGGCGTCCAGACCCCCAAAGTGAGAATATGCAAGCATTTCCTCTTCTTGGACCGAGTGTCTACCTCTGACAGCAAAAAAAAAAACAACCCAAAACTCTGAAGCCGGATCTGCAGACAGCCCCAGCCACATCCCCACCCCACCGTTCCCGGGACTCCTTTCGCAGAGCCTTTCCCAGCCTGGCTCCCGCTCCCGCTCCTCCTCCTCCCCGCTCGCTCCCCTCTCGACTTTCCGACTCGGGAGTCTTTTCGTTCCGAGAACCCGGGACTTCCCTCCTCACCCCCTTCCGCCCCGAAAAAACCACTGGCAGACCCCGATCCTTTCGAGGAAAGTCCTGAAGTCCAATGCGCGGAGCCCCGCGCAACATAAACTCCCGCCACTGCCTCTGCCTCTGCCTTGCCCCGCATGTATTCCCGGTTTATTTTCAAGCTGCGGCTTTGGGGAGAGCGAGGAGAGAGAGAGGGAGGGAGAGAGAGAGGGAGAGGGAGAGAGAGAGTCTGGAGGGGGAGGAGGAGGGAGGGGAAAGAATACGGGAAGATAAAGCCGGCGGCCGAGATCCGCTGGCCGCCGCTCCGCGCGCGGGTGCCCGGGGGGTGCGGGTGCCGGTGCCCGGGCGCGCGGTGTCAGGGAGCGAGCGCCTCCCCGCCTCCGCGGCGCGGCCGGAGCTCGCCTCGCGCACCCACCCCTGCCGCGGAGCCGACTTGCTGCAGCCCAGTGCATTGTGTAAGACGCGACCTGTTATGGCCACCACTACTTCCGGGTTCTAGCATTCTGGTCGGAATCCACCTCTCCGCCCGTGCAACACACACTTTACACACGCACGGGGACTGCGAGCGGGCAGCATCGATTGTGGCTCCTTTAAGACAAACTCAGACAGACATTTTTTTTTTTTTTTTTTGCAACCCTCCTCCTCTAATCTCCCTCCAGTGCAGCAGTTGCAAAGAGGGAGAGGGAGAGGAGAGAGAGAGAGAGAGAAAGAGAAAGAGAGCGAGCGAGAGAGAGAGAGAGAGAGAGAGAGAGAGAGAGAGAGAGAGAGAGAGAGAAGAGAGAGAAACTGATTAGGAATTAGGACCGATTCAAGGGAAGCGAGCAGCGCTAGGGCTTTTGTGCATTTGAATATGAACATTTGAGGTGTTCTGACCAGAAGAAGACAGAGCGGATGATCATTCATTCACCACGTTGACAACCTCGCCTGTGATTGACAGCCGGAGTGGCAGAAAGCCATGAGATTTGGTAGTTGGGTCTGAGGGGCGCTGGCTTTTTTTTTTTTTAACTGATTTTTTTTGGGGGAGAAAAGATCTGCTTTTTTTTTTTTTTTTCTTTTTTTTCTTTTTTTTTTCCCTTTTTTTTTTTTTTTTCTTGCCCCCGCTGCTGTCTTGGAAACGGAGCGCTTTTATGCTCAGTGACTCCAGCGCTTTGCTTCAGGTCCCGTAGACCGAAGATCTGGGACGAATAGCTCACGTTGCTGGAGACGCTAAGGGATTTTTCGTCCTGCTTTTACATTATTTTTTTTTTTCCTCCGGGGGAGTTTGCGTATTTGTTTCCTTTCACACTGGCCTTAAAGAGGATATATTAGAAGTTGAAGTAGGAAGGGAGCAGGGAGGCCGATGGCGCAAAGGGTACGTATTAAAAAAAACGACAATTGTGGAACTCAAATGTGAAATTAAATTGAAACGTGTCTGAAAGACACTGCTAAAAAGTTTCCTTTTTTTTTTTTTCCTCTCTGTCTTTCTGAATGAGGCTCCTAAAGCCGTGGCCTAAAGCGAGAGTATTTATTCTATGTGTTTGTGAACTTATGTATGTTACATGTTAATTCGAATAATCAAGTTTTCTGTAGATTCCTAACCAGCATGTATATATGTATAAATAAAAATACAAGCTGGGGCAATCATCTGGTTAAAAAATAAAAAAGAACAAAAACAAAAAATGCTAGATAGCTAATGCTATGTGAGTGTTAAGAGAGCAAAAGTTTAGAGCTTTTTAAAAACTAAAATAGACAGCTAGAAACTTCTGCTATGTTATTGATTATGTTCATCTTTAATACCATTAGAAACATTTAGCTATTTAAAGCCAATAACTTTGTGATAGTATAACTTATTGGGGGTCGAGAAGCATTCATCTTTGAAAAAAAGTAATTTTAATGTGCATGGATTTTTATGCAAGGTAATCCTTAGAAAGTTTATCTTAGACTGCCCTGCACTAATTGGATACTTAGCACACAGCTACTCACTTTTAAAATGCAATACTAATTTCACCAATATTCCTATTTGAATGGAAATGTAGTGAGAGTAAAGTGAGACAATGACAACCCAACTGAGGTAGTTTCTGAAGAGAAAGAGGGTCTGCAGAAAGCCTTCCTTGCATAATTTGTGTCCTGGCCCTCAAAGCCCTGTTTGCAAAAGAAAGTTACTAGGCTGACACTTTTTTTTTTTCTCTCTCTCTCCTTTGGTTCAGGCAAATGTCAGTGTTTCTTCCAAACTCCTTTCACACCTCTGGCTCTGAGGAGATGAAAGTGGCAATTCCTCTTTTCTTTGAAAATCATTTCACTCTCGACACCTTCCAATCTTGAGGGGGAAAAGGCTTGCCTGGAATGAACCAATGAGAAAAAAATCTAAATAGCTACATTTTGCCCACAAAAATAGTGACAATCGATCTGAAAGTAGTGTTTCTAGAGGAGGAAGTTGGTAGGTTGTATGTGCATTTGCTACTGAATTTGCTTTCAACCTGAGGAGTACCATTTGCCTTGTTAACTTCTAGTCTGGGAGAAAGTTCTTAAGGCTAGAAAGAATAGAATAACTAACTGTTCCAACAACAGATTTCCTTGACTTAACTATATTGGAGTGGAAATCGCCTGATTCTAAATTCAGCTGTAAGGTACAAGAAAAACTCCCCTTCTCCGAGTTTCACTGATAAGGGGGCCAGTTAATTTTGTATAATAATTTAGCAGAATTTGTCTTGGAAAGCAGAGGACATGCAGTGTCTTACAGGACTGCCTAACCTCTTGCTGGCAGGGAAATAAAGTAAGGAAAGAGCCTGTCTGAATTCACGTGCTTGGTGTAGCTGTCTCCTTCCTAACTTTTTTTTTTTTTTAATTCCCTCTGATGAGAAGGGGCTGTGAAAGGAGGCGGGTTTGCTGCCCTGTCCTAGCACGTTTTATTATTGTGATTTTGCGTTTCCTCCTATGGAGACAGGCATGGTTTACCTTCCACCCTCCGGGAGAGAGAAGCCTTCCTTTCTTTCCTTCCTTTCTTGCTACAGGATTCTGAATTTCTGAATTAGTTGCTAGGGACACAAGTGAGGGCATGACCATTCACCCTAGCCGGGTTTCACCGAGAATCCTAGAATTTTTACTTAAAAAAAAAATTTTTAGATTAAAAAAAAAAATCTCAGCTTTTAGAGATGCAAGGCCACCGAAGTCGAGGTTGAATGATCCCCGCTGGACTGACATTATAGAAGCACCCTGCCCTGCCGGTCGGTCCCCCCCTTGGCCCGCCTGGCCTTCTGAACCTTGTTTCTCTCCTGTGTGTCATGCAGTACGATGATCTGCCCCATTACGGGGGCATGGATGGAGTAGGCATCCCCTCCACGATGTACGGGGACCCGCATGCGGCCAGATCCATGCAGCCGGTCCACCACCTGAACCATGGGCCTCCTCTGCACTCTCATCAGTACCCGCACACAGCCCACACCAACGCCATGGCCCCCAGCATGGGTTCCTCCGTCAATGACGCGTTAAAGAGAGATAAAGATGCCATTTACGGGTAGGTACAACGGGCAGCAGGTTACATAGCCGAGCCGCGGTGCTAACCCTGTTTCCCTTCGCCCTCGGTCAGGGGAAAGCCAGAGCTCTTGGGACTGGAGATATGGTGGTACCACTGGGTGACTTTTCATTCGCATTGCATAGAGAATGTGGGAGGCTGCCCCGCCATCCCGGACGCCCCCCCCTCACCCTGCACACTCCGCCACCGCTGCCCAGCGTCTGGGTCTGCCCAGGGAAGGGGTCGCCGGGCAGGAGAAACTGCCCAGAGGTCCCTCTTGCTCTCTCCGAGGGCTGGTGTCCCGGCTGGAAGCTCTGTTCTGGGGAAAGCCTTGGGGGTTTGCTAACTGTAGGCGCCTTTGTGTGGGAAGGAAACTTTTAGTTTCAGGGGAAAATCTTTTAAGCCACTGATTGTCCTGACTTGCTAAGTTTACTCAGCAGCCCTGTGCTGGCTCTGCCACCGCACAATGAAACGCAGGGAGGACGGTGGCAGGTCAGGCAAAGGGAACCAGCTTTGCCTTTAGAAAGTTTGAGCAGGTAGCCGAGGCCGTCCCAGAGAGGAGCTCGGTCTGAATGGTTGCAGGCATTAGGAAACTCCTAGCCCTTGTAAGACTTTGGGATCCGAGGTGAAACCTGCAGGAAGTCGAAGTAGAGATGCGAGGTGCTACGGGCCCGGGCCCTGTTGTTTTCTGATTGCAGTTCCCACCGTTTTTTCTTTCTGCCGGCCATTCCATCCGACAGCCGGCTGGTGAAATCCTTTGAAAGAGACTTGTGCCTACTGTGTGCTGGTGAATGTGGGGGGCCTCTTTTTTGACTTTGCGGCAACTTTTATTGCAACTATTTACAAAAATTTAAAAAAAAGAAAAGGATCATGCAACACCGACCCTCCCCGGCTGCACAGCCGCTCTGCTTTATTTTTCTGGTCCCTTGTGCCACGGGCTGGTTTAAATCCCAGCGTCCTCTCCGCAGCAGCATTCCCTGCAAATGGTGTAGGCTCCGGGTACAGGACATTGGGGGAAGCTTTGAAAAGGACCCCAAGCTGTGACATTCCCAGCTGGCCTGTGAGAGCTCATAAAAGACTCGGGACCCATCCTTGGGCATTGGGAGACGCTTTTCCCCCCCTTTCGTTTATGGGCTGAGATAAGCGACATCTAGGCCCCTCGCAGTCCCGGCTGCCTGGCCATGCCGCAGAGACAAAACGAAAGGCTTTCTGGCTCTCCAGCGCGACCATGGGCAGGAACTTTCTTTGGGGGTGGTGGTGGGGGTGATTGGCGAAGGCACAGGCGATGTGCACGGAGCCGAGGAGGCGCCTCCTGGCTCTCCGAGGCCCCCCGGGGTGGGGATCGGTAGGTGCAGCCCCCTGACAGCCGGTCCCCCAAGCCTTGGAGGTCTTTTCCCCAAGTTAACTGAGCGCCGGGACTGAGATCCCCAGCCCGGGCTGTGCCAGGTCGCCTCGGAGGAGCCCATGGGAATGAGCTCTCCCAGCCCCTGTGCCCGGCGCCCCTCTCAGGCTCCAGGTCCTGGATGTGCAGCCGAGGGGACCGGGGCTGGTCGGGTGGGAAACTTCATTCAAAATGGCTGCTGGAACCCGCTTGGGTTTTTATTCTCCGCAAATGTTCCCAATTTCTCCGGCCAGATAAGCTGAACCGATCCTCAAATACGGTTCTGTCCGTGGCGCAGGGCCTCCCAACTCCGGGGCCCTGAGAGGAAGGGGAGGTGAGCAGTCACCTGGGTGGGGGTAGGGGGAGGAAGGAAAAAAGTAGATGACAAAAACCAGGGAGGGGGTCCCTGCCTCCAGCTCCTCCGGCTGCTTTGCTTGGGCGCCCTTTTTCCCCTCCCCTGACTCGGGACTAACCATTGTGTTGTTTGTGACTGTTGTATTTTCTTGCAGACACCCCCTCTTCCCTCTCTTAGCACTGATTTTTGAGAAATGTGAATTAGCTACTTGTACCCCCCGAGAGCCAGGGGTGGCGGGCGGGGACGTCTGCTCGTCAGAGTCATTCAATGAAGATATAGCCGTGTTCGCCAAACAGGTCAGCAAAATAAATGTTTAAAAAGTAAAGGGGGAGAAAAAGGGGGACCTCCCTTCCCCCCTCACCCACCCAGCACATTTGCAAGAGTCATTAGCAACTAGTCCACCCCGGGCCATGCCTGCTTCAGCTACCCTGAGATGTCCCTCCTGTCTGAGTAGTGTCTGTCTGCCGAGGGGACTCAACATGGCCCATCCCCATCCCCACTGGAGATGTAGAAATCCATGGCCCCTTGTAGAAAACCCCCTTTATAAAAATAAAATCACAGAGTAACACCCCGCGCTGCAGCTGCTTGGACTGGGGGAGCTAGCTGAGCAGCCTCCTGCAGAATCCGAGCTGCTGGTGGGAGTCACCCAGAGCTGGGGCTTGTTCTCAGCCTGAGTCTCCTCCAAGTGTGTTTGCACGGGACGAACTCGGTGTCCCCCAGTCCCTCCAGGAGGCTCCCTCCTGGCCCTGACAGTGTAAGGAGTCAAGAAAGTAGGGAAGCGACCAGATTTCAAATGTTTGTTTTCTCCCCCCCCCCCAACCCCTTTCCCTTCTCACTTGTATTTAGATTCGTGCAGAAAAACCTCTATTTTCTTCTAATCCAGAACTGGATAACTTGGTAAGAGCGGACCCCTTACTCCCCTTCTTCAGCGCCCTCCCCACTTTCCCCTCAGTCCCCCAGTTTCGCTTGGAGGGCCCCGAGGTTTGTAGACCGGTCTGCCCCGCTGCCGCTGCAGGTCTGCTGCAAATGTGTCCGTCTGTGGACGAGAGGCCCGGGACAAGATCCCGGGAAATAAATTTTTCTGGAGAGGGGCCGGCCCGGAGCGGCGCAGAGAAACGCGAGCTTTTGTTTTTTATGACAGCCGGGCAGCACAGCTCTAATCAGCGCGGGGATTTATCTCAGGGCCTGTCAGCGTGTGTGCTTAAACTTTGCAGACTTCCCAGCCCTCAGAGTTGCCTGGGGGGGGGGCAGCTAGCAGGCAGGAGCCCCCGACCACCAGTTTGCCTGAAAGGTGTGCAGAAGGCAGCCGGACATTTGCAGTGTGAAAAGCCACAATTCTGGGGACTCATATTTTGACTGTTTTCCATGCACACCTTCCAAGGAAACGTCTAGTCCAAGGATGTGGCCCTTTGGGGGTGGGGAGGAGGCCGTGGGGCTGAGAAAGGAGAGAGAGCCATGGGGGAGGAGAGTGTTTATGATCCCCACTTAGATGCTTTGTTGTTGTTTTAGCTATTTCTTTCTCCTTAAGAAATATAAACCTCTAGATCGTACCCAGTCGCTGCTATTAAGTTTTAGTGTTATTGCCATAAATCAAAATAACTCTATTTACTGGGGGGAGGGGAATGGTGGGCTAGAGGTGCTAGAGCTGTGACAGCCAATTTTCTGCAAACCGGGAATGGGATGCTCATTCTTTTTGTGTCTTTGCAGATGATTCAAGCCATACAAGTATTAAGGTTTCATCTGTTGGAATTAGAGAAGGTAATTTCTCTGGCCTCTTTTTTCTTTGGCCCCTTCAAACCCCCCCCCCCCCAAACACACAGGATGGGGGAGGGTTCAGCATGGCTGAAGTTCAGGCTTCTGGAACATTTGCATAAATGTCTTTCTTTCTGGTAATTAGTGTCAAGGCCAATTTTTGCATCCATTTCTCTTTGCAGTTTAATTACAATTTCAGCCACTAAAACCAGGGATCACAGACGCCCTAGCCTTGTATTCATTCTTAATACCTTGCTGGCTTTGTATAAATAGTTGCAATTCTATACAACCCCCTTGATGTTAAGAATGCTTTTGTGAGTTGCTTCACAGGTTATACCTTTGTGGCCTCTTCTCTTCCTCTTCTTCTTTTTCTTTGCTGCCTCTGTGGGGGTGATGGTGGTAGGGGGGAGTTTTGTTTAGTTTGAGTGAGTTTCTGGAAGACAGTCTGAGAGCAGCGGCAGGTCAGATGCAGAGGAGAGGCAGCGGAGTGGGGGTTGGGGGGGTAGCGGACAGGGAGTCTGGAGGAGGTGGTGGGAGAAACACATTAAATGTTTTGCAGAGACAAAGCAGAGTTGGTAGTTGCGTCAGTGTCTTGAATCTGCAAAATCCTGCACACACCCCACCTTCACACTCAAGAAAGGGTGTGGGATAATACAATTGTGCTAGCTGTACTATAAATCTCAGCCATAAAAACTTAATGCATTGTAATTCAAACTAACATCAAATCGCAAGCACACTGGGGCGCCTTGTGAATTTTTGCATGTCAGGGATGACTGGGGCCTGTGAGCGACTGCTCCACTTGCACCTAAATAGTCTGAAGCAATCGTTTCCCATTTTATATTTAAAAATCAGTTTGATACATTTTTTTTGTGATTGTAGGTTTCCCCCCCATATATTGATTACTGGGAAATTGACTTCCTTTTATTTTTCCAAAAGAAGTATCCTAAAATATGCTTCTTATGGATAGAAACCCTAATTTCAAATATTACAGGGACTTGGGTTGTCAGGCGTATATCCTATGCCACCACAGTACTGGTCCTTTTAATATATATTATATATATATATCATATATCCCAAATTACACAGAGATGCATTTTTCCTTAGACATATTGGGAAAAGGACCTATGATAAAGTCACTGGATGGAATTAAATAGTTTACCTTAAATGTCACCCACGCGGGTCACCCCTTTAATGGCCACAGCCCTGGAAGCAGATGAATTTAACACGGGTGTTGAATACGTTGTAGCCTGTGAATCATCTTGTCACTGTCAATTTTCTGGGATATCTTTATTTTGCAAGAAAAGAAAGTTATTCCTAATTCTGGATGCGTCTGGGGGTCTCTGGAGGACAATTGCCCTGTGTTTCCCCTGTTTGGAAGTTTGGATCTCACAAGGGGGGTGGGGAGGGGTGGATTGCACTTGTCAATGTCATTTATCCCCTCTTGATTATATTTCCATTTTTTATTTCTGTCATAATGTAGGTACACGAATTATGTGACAATTTCTGCCACCGGTATATTAGCTGTTTGAAAGGGAAAATGCCTATCGATTTGGTGATAGACGATAGAGAAGGAGGATCCAAGTCAGACAGTGAAGATATAACAAGATCAGCAAATCTAACTGACCAGGTATGCGCTTTTCAATTTCAACATCCCTGGGAAGAGGAGGGAAAAAAAATCTGTATGCATATTGCTCACTGGGTCACTACCACCTCCTTTTATTATTTGCATATGATTAAGTCCCTTTTAGATACATTTCCATCGAAATGAAAATTTTTGAATAATGTGGCTATTATTGCTTCATTAAGGCTGGCTCTGGGATTCGACGTGGAGAGATGAGCTTGCAAAAGCTTTTGCCTGCAAACTTGACCTGTTTCTTGTCGCTTTTAATTTTTGTCTTTATTTTATTTACCCTCCATCATAATGGGAGTATTAACTGCCAGTGACCGCCTCTGATTGTAGGGCTTTGTTCTGGGAGCACTGCCCCAACCCCCCTTCTAATCTTGAAGAAAAGGAAAGAGTAGGGTCTTCGTATTTCTTATTTCATTAGGAATAAACCCAAGATAGGTGGTCTCAGGAAGACAGCCAGGGTTTGAAATCTAGCAAATGTTGGCTGTTTTCTCCCTGTCTCTACGGTTCATTAGCCTGTCTTGTCAGTTTTCCTCGGCCGAGCGCTTCTAGACCTCACTGAGCATTGCTTTGTGCAGTGCTCGCTGCAAGCTCGCCCATTTTATTGTACTTCGTAGACAAAATAAGACCAGGCCGAGGGTGTGCACACAGATAAATCGGACTTTTCTCCTCCACCTTTCCACTCATCCTCCAGCTGGTACGTGCTCCCGGGCCCTCTGGGATGGCAGCTTTTGGAAGTATCAGCATCAGGGCACCTTGGCGACTCCCTCGGTGTGGTTGGGTGGGGGACCTCGCGCCACCTTGACTCCCAGCTGCCGCCTTTGGCTTGCGGAGCCCCCTCCTCTAGCCTTCTCCTTCCAGGCCCTTCTTCTGCTGCGTGGCTAAGTGGGGACCACTTTTATTTGGACTTGCTATGGGGATGTGTGTGTGTGTGTGTGTGTGTGTGTGTGTATGTGTGTGTGTGTCTGTGTGTGTGTGTGGGGGGGTGGATTTCTCTCCCCCTCTCACTCCGACACCACTGTTTGCTCCCAGGATCTCTCTTTCTGTCCAGTCGCTGCGTCTCTGGATTGGTCCAGAGGAGTTTGCAAAAAATAGCGTGAAAGTGAAAACGTGAGGAGTGGGTGGGATAAAACAGGGCTCATGACAGCTCTCCGTTGCGAATTGTTGCAACGCGCGCCTAGAGATTTGGGTTGCACGGGCCTCCTCCGCCTCTCCCTGTGTATATAAGGGAAGGAAGGTCCCGAGTTGTTTCTCTTTCTGACTTGGCACGTGAGCCCCGTCTTGGGGGAGCCATCAGCCTGTCTTTGTTAGGCGTAGGGACCGCCCGGCAGGCAGCGTTCCTGGCGAGCTCTGCCAGGATCTCTGTTGACCAGTGAGTGCCTCCTCTTGCGGGAGTCATTGTCCGCGTGCTCTGCTCCCCCGGTCTTGGTGTCATCTCAAAGTTTTCCTTCTCGCCAAGGTCTACCCCTGCAAATAAATCCACAGCTTTGATTTCTCCGGGGAACTCCGGACAGAGGCTGAAGCCTCCTTTCCCCAGGAGCGGAGGGCAGGCCGAGCTGAGCTTGCAAAGCGCGGGTGTGCAGCGTCCATAACGGTTATTTGGCAAGTTGCAAACTTTGGACCGTGTAGACAAGAGCCCCGGTACAGTCAGCCTGCGCGATCCTGGCGCAGCCCTGCCTGCCTAGGTGCGGAACCTGCAGGCAGCTGTGGGAGGGGGACTGGGACGGGGGAGGGGGCTGGCTTTGACCCCTCGGAGGGGGCTGCCCTGCCTTCTGCCCGCCTCAGGTCCCCCCCGCCCCCCCAGCTCTCTACCCCCCCCCCCCAGCTGTTACATGCAGATTCCACCACTGAGGAACCCTCGGGTAGCTGCTGTTGACTAAAAACCGTCATCCAACAAGCCTAACTAGAAAATGGGATTCTAAAAAAGCTTCTAGTGCTGGGTACATAAAGCTATTTGAGCAAATTACAAGAACCGCTCAGGGGCATGAATGAAATCAACACTTTAATTGCCTCCAAAATGAAGATTTATGCCCCCGTTTTCTCAACGAATCGCGATTTTATTAAAGGCAAAGATAAAGGACCAAAGTTATGGGGCAATTTTGGGGGGGATACCACATGGATATATATGCCATCAGCGAGTTCTTCCCCCTTCCTCCTCCGGCAAACTTTTTGTGCACAATGACTTTAACTCGAGCTCTGCAGGTCGGTAGGCACTTCTAGTGGGTAAAAAAAATACGCATTTTGTTCTCCCTCCCCACCTAGGAGATGAGAGGCTTAGGAGGGGGCGGTTTTGCAGCTCTGGCTGAGCTGGTGGCGCTGTTGGCCTGGGCGCGTGGACGCGTTCTCGGGACCCCCCTCCCCAGTTCCCCGAGGTCCCCAGCTTCCCAGCTCCCCTAGGTCCCCAGCTCCCCAGCTCCCCTAGGTCTCAAACGGTTGGAGGGCAGCAAACCCAAGTTCAGTCGGTCTAATGGGCCGCTTCTCCAGAGCAGGAGCGGGGTGCCTGGGCTCCCTTTGGAGCAAGGAGCGCAGCATGCGGGGCGCAGAGGGCTGAGCCTCCTGTTCCGGGAGGCTGGGAGCAGAGACAGGGCACTGGGGCCGCCTGGTGGGCGCCCGCTTTCCAGCCTGGAGCTTGCTGGCCGGCCCCTAGGGGCGCTGGACCCCCTAGTGGGGCGCCCTGGGGGGGAGGGGGAGACCCAGGAAAGACAGCCCGGCCACCTGTCTGCCCCGGCGGCGGCGCAGGCCGCGGGAGTCCCGGCGGCGGAGGGCGCGCTGCGGGACCCGGGCTTCAGGTGCGGCGCGAACGCGGGGCCTCGTTAGCTCATTAACCCCTCCGTCTCTAGGGCCCGCTGGCGGCGAGGTTTATTTTATTTTCCTTTTTTTTCACCCTCGGAAGGCGTGAAGACTGCCACCGGCGGGCGCAGGGACCTGGGATCGACGGCTCTGACCGCTTTCCCAGAAGGCTTAGTCCGTGGAAATCCACTTGGCCTTGTAGGGCTGTTGGCTTATTTTTATTTTTATTTTTAAAAATCGCATTTAGATGAAGGTAGAAGCTTTGATCCCCGTGCCCTTGTCCCGTCTCCCCCTGGTTCCCACTCCCAGACCCCGAGGCCCCTGCAGGCGCAGCCCTCCCGGGCGCCCTCTCCCGACAGCCGGGTCCGCGGCCTCCGCCGGGCGCGCGGGGCGCGGGGGACTGGGTCCCCGTCCTGGGGGTTTCGGGGACTCGGCGGCGGCGGGCGATGAGAGCTGGGCTGCGACTCGGGTGTCGGGGGACCCAGGTGCGATGCGTCGAGGCCAGGGCTGGGCCAGGTTGGTGGTGCAGAAAGAAGGATGCAGATCTATGAAGGGACGAGGGAGATGTTTGGGAGTCCAGAGTGGAATTGGGAGCGCCCAGAGGCCCAGAGAGGGATTAGATGAGGAAGAGCCTGACTGCCCAGCCCAGAGGGCAGGTCCAGGACGCACTCCGAGAAGGAGCCATGGAATGGAGCCGGCCCAGGGCTGTCTGTTGTTCGCCCCTCCCGGAATCGGAGCCTTTTCCGCTCCAGGACCCGGTGGAGGGAGAGGGGAGAGAGGAGCGAAAGGTCGCCAGGCCCCTAAGGCCGCCTCTCCGGTGGCCCTGCCTGCTCCTAGGGAGCCGGGACTAGCAGGGCCTGTGCTCCGGGCTCCAGCCGGGCTCTCCCTCCAGCAGCAGGAGGCAAGGAAAAGGTCCCTTTAGATTTACAATTTTTATTCAACAGCAGCTCTCCAGGGGATCCTCGGCTGAAATCTGCATTTAACAGCTCTGGGGCTGGGGCTGCCAGGCTGCACCCGGCTGCGCCCTGTTGCATGTTAATCCAGATTTGTCGCTGACATCCAGGGAGAAGCAGTGTGGCTCTCAGGGATGGAACCAGAGAGCCACACTTCCCGGGCAGGTTAAATGCCAAGTGCTGGTGAGCTCCCAGGGAAGGCTGTCTACCGGGGCGGTGAGCCCGGGCAGAAGAGGCCAGCCCTCCCGGCCTCAGAGATCCAGGGCAGCCCCGGGCCAGTGCGCTTTGCTTCCCAAGTAAGTCAGGGAGCCCTGGTGGCGATTGTTTTATTCTAAAAGTCCTGAGTGTTGTTTCCCAAGCATAGTTTAAAAATCAAAATTCTTAACACTGAACTTGTACTTGACTGAAAACACTCCCTCCCTTGCAAAGTGGAAGGAGGATGTGGTCTGAGGGGGAGATTTGAGCTTTGTCTTTTGGAAAGGTGTTTATGGTCAGGGATGGAAGGGCTAGGGATAGCCTAATGTCCTTGATGAATGGGATCTGCTGTGTTAAAAAAAAACAAATAGCAAAGGCCATCGGATATTTGCTAATACCAGAACTGTGGGCAATTTATTTTTGTCCAATAAGAAAACTGGACACAAACATCAGGAAGCAGGAAACTGGTCCCGTTGTCAAGTAGTTTGTTTCTAAATGCTTACACATGGATACATCTCATTTAAATTGTAAATACTTCACAGGGTCCCACTTAATGCCTTAATCCTGGAACCTCTCAGCCCACGGGCCTTGCAAGCAATGGGGTCTTGGAATTATCTACTTTTCCTTTTGACTGTTGTTGTGGGCCATGTGGTGCACTCTTAATTTCTTTTTTGAAATATGTCAAAGGGAAATTATGGTACGATTCTCTTTAATGATTAAATAATAAGGTGTTGACTGCTTGTCACTACACGGGCTAATTGGGATGTTCGTTCTAGGCCCTTTATTACTTAGAAGCCTTTGAATTAAAAGTTAGTTGTGTACCAGGTGTGTTTTCATTATTCCTTTCTGATTGGCTTTTAGTGTGTATTTGTGTGTGGATTTCAGAGTGTGGATGTATTGATTCTTAATAGGAGCTGTTGAAAACATTTTAGAAGAAAAAGAAGTATAGGTTATATACAGATAGATTGAGGCCAATTACATTGTTAAATGTCTGGAAGTCTCAATACTAGTATAACAGAAGTTATTCTCTTTTCAGAGCATCTCTCTCTCTCTCTCTCTCTC